ATTCAGTCTCTGTCCCTGTTAGTAAGAAGGAGAAACCGGTTAGTAGTTCTTCTGTTGATCGAACATTGAGACCTTCTTCAAATATAGCTCAGAAGCATAAGGCTGAAACGACTTCTATATCAAGAAAACCTACGCCAGAGAGGAAGGGAAGTCCATTGAAAGGGAAGAATAATGTGTCTGATCTTTCAGAGAATTCGAAACCTGTAGATGGTCCTCACAGCCGGTTGATAGAACAGCATCGGTGGCCTAGTAGAATTGGTGGAAAGATCACTTCGAATTCTTTAAACAGAAGCTTGGATCTTGGTGACAAGGCTTCAAGGGGTCTACCAACTTCAGGGCCTGGAATGGGGCCGTCCCTTAGGAGAATGTCACTACCATTGTCCAGCAGTTCAAGACCTTTGCATAAAACTTCTAGTAACACATCTAGTTATGGTGGATTAGTGTCTCCAACAAAGTCGGAAGATAATAACATAGCTCGAACTTCTGGGGCTCAAAGACTTTTGTCTGCAGGTTCGTTGGATAGAGCAACATTAGCAACGGCTGTAGCTAGGTTGCATCCATTGCCTGCTCCTGGATCTCGCCCAGCTTCACCAAGTAGAACATCGTTTTCGTCTTCGTCTATTTCCCGAGGCATGAGTACTTCGAGAGGCGTGAGTCCATCAAGAGGACTAAGCCCTTCTAGAGGATTGAGTCCTACTAGAGGTTTAAGTCCTTCAAGAGGGTTAAGTCCTTCGCGTGGCACAAATACTTCCTGTTTTGCTAGACCATCAACTCCACCTTCAAGAGGGATAAGTCCTTCACGGATAAGACAAACCAGCACTTCCACACAATCCAGTACCACAACTTCAGTTCTCAGCTTCATCACGGACGTCAAGAAAGGCAAAAAAGCAAGCTATATTGAAGATGTTCATCAGCTGCGCTTGCTCCACAATAGATATTTACAGTGGCGGTTTGCAATTGCACGAGCTGAATCTGTAATGTATATTCAAAGACTAACTTCCGAGGTATTTAGCATCTCTGTCTTCTATAATGTGATCCTTTAATTGATTGATCTAAAGACGTCTGAAAATTTAAGTTTTGACTTTCAGGAAACACTGTTCAATGTGTGGCATGCGATATCAGAACTACAGGATCATGTGACCAGGCAAAGGATTGGCCTACAACAGCTAAAGCTAGAGATCAAACTCAACTCACTATTAAACGATCAGGTATGTTGTCTCTCTGTTGTGTTCTGGCTTTGTATTCATCAGATTCTGCCGTGCTTATGCATAAATATGTGCACAGATGGTGAGCCTTGAAGATTGGGCCACACTTGAAAGAGACCATGTTAGTTCTTTAGTTGGAGCCATATCAGATTTAGAAGCAAACACTCTTCGCCTTCCAGCGACTGGAGGAACAAAGGTATATATAGATTATTACTTTTGCAAATATTTATGGAAACTTAATTTCAGAAGATCATTTAGAACTTCTCTTCCTACAGGCGGACACTGAATCTTTGAAAGCAGCTATGTCCTCGGCCCTCGATGTAATGCAGGCTATGGGATCGTCCATTTGGTCTTTACTCTCAAAGGTGAGACCTTTTTAATAAATCTGTTCTCCAAATTTATCCTCTTGACATAACTCTCAAGCTGGTGCACTTCTCTTTATGATTTGTATTTGCAGGTGGAGGAGATGAACATAATGGTAACAGAACTCGCTGTTGTAGTTACAAAAGAGAGTTCTATGCAAGGAAAATGTGAAGATCTTCTGGCCTCTACTGCGATCATGCAGGTAACAAAAACAGTCCAATGCTCTAATGAAAAATGAGTCTTTTAAAGGAATTGAAACTGAGATTTTATAAAATGAACAGATTGAAGAGTGTAGCCTCAAGACTCATCTGATACAAACTAGGCGAGAAGAAGGAGAAGACGCAAAGGAGACTCCTCCATTGTTGCCATTAAGCAAGTTTCCATGGCCATAAATAACAAAGCTTACAGTTCCCACACGCTCAACACTGATCACCTGTAAATTGCTCTTTGATGCCTCACATTTCTCTTGTCGAGATCCTTTTTTGATCTTTGCTTGTTGAAGTTTTCTTCTTCTTTTTTTGGTATAAAACATTAGCTTAGGAAAAAAAGAAGTGAAAGATCACGAGTTCGAAAGTCTTAGGATACAAAAAAAGAAATTTATTTTTCACATGTAAGCTCTGATGTGGGGTATTTTTTGGGGGTTTTATTCTTTAGTATCATTTAGTGTAGAATTCATTACAAAAATTTAATAGAACTGTTTTGGCTCTTCTATTATACTTTTCGGAAAAAAATTCACTAACAAAATCAAAATGTAATCGTAAGTTGAAATTCATTTTCTTTATTGAATCCCATATAAATCAACATTTGATATGTTATAATTTAGATTAAAGGTAAAAAATATTTAAATGAAAATGAAAGAATGCAAAATGACTTCTTTCGTATTCTCTGAAAGGCAAAAAGCCAAATGCTACTACGGACAGTGTCGGCCGCCACCGCCGAGACAACCGCTGCATTGATAAGCAAGAACAATTTTCTCGATCTCTTCAAAAGATCAACTTCTATATCTCACCTTGCTCAAACCCATGCTCAGATCGTTCTCCATGGCTTCCGCAACGACATCTCATTGCTCACCAAGCTTACCCAACGACTCTCCGACCTCGGCGCCATTTACTACGCACGCGACATTTTCCTCTCCGTCCAAAGACCTGACGTTTTCCTTTTCAACGTCCTCATGCGTGGCTTCTCCGTCAACGAATCACCTCACTCTTCGCTCGCTGTGTTCGCTCATCTAAGGAAATCCACTGATCTCAAGCCCAACAGCTCCACCTACGCCTTCGCTATATCAGCTGCTTCTGGGTTTCGTGACGACAGAGCTGGCTGTGTTATTCATGGTCAAGCGATCGTTGATGGGTGTGACTCAGAATTGCTTCTTGGGTCGAACATTGTTAAGATGTACTTTAAGTTTTGGCGAGTCGAAGATGCTAGGAAGGTGTTCGACAGAATGCCTGAGAAAGACACAATTTTGTGGAACACGATGATATCTGGTTACCGAAAGAATGAAATGTATGTGGAATCTATTCAGGTTTTCAGGGATTTGATCAATGAGAGCTGTACCCGTTTGGACACAACAACTCTGCTTGATATTCTTCCCGCTGTTGCAGAGTTGCAGGAGCTTAGACTCGGGATGCAAATCCATAGTCTTGCCACAAAAACTGGGTGCTACTCCCACGATTATGTTCTTACTGGTTTCATCTCACTATACTCAAAGTGTGGAAAGATTAAGATGGCAAGTACTCTGTTTCGTGAGTTTCGTAGACCAGATATAGTAGCTTACAACGCAATGATTCATGGGTATACTTCCAATGGAGAGACCGAGCTCTCTTTAAGCCTGTTTAAAGAGCTGATGTTATCAGGAGCAAAGTTGAAGTCAAGCACGCTGGTCAGTCTGGTCCCTGTCTCTGGTCATCTTATGCTTATATATGCCATTCATGGTTACAGCTTGAAATCGAATTTCCTGTCTCATACTTCTGTCTCAACCGCGTTAACTACGGTTTATAGTAAATTGAATGAGATAGAATCAGCCCGGAAGCTTTTTGATGAGTCTCCGGAAAAAAGCTTGCCATCTTGGAATGCAATGATCTCAGGTTACACCCAAAACGGGTTGACAGAGGACGCGATATCTCTCTTCCGAGAAATGCAGAATTCAGAATTCAGTCCAAACCCTGTCACAATAACTTGTATTCTATCAGCTTGTGCGCAGTTAGGAGCTTTAAGTTTGGGGAAATGGGTTCATGATTTAGTAAGGAGCACAGATTTTGAGTCTAGCATATATGTGTCGACTGCTTTGATTGGTATGTATGCGAAGTGTGGAAGCATTGCAGAAGCTCGCAGATTGTTTGACTTTATGCCAAAGAAGAATGAAGTTACATGGAACACGATGATTTCCGGTTATGGACTTCATGGACATGGACAAGAAGCTCTGACTATCTTCTCTGAGATGTTGAATTCCGGCATTGCACCAACACCAGTCACTTTCCTCTGCGTTCTTTACGCTTGTAGTCATGCTGGCCTGGTCAAAGAAGGTGATGAGATATTCAACTCCATGATCCACCGGTATGGTTTTGAACCATCAGTCAAGCATTACGCCTGTGTGGTTGATATTCTTGGCCGAGCAGGACACTTACAGAGAGCATTGCAGTTTATAGAAGCAATGCCGATTCAGCCTGGTCCTTCTGTGTGGGAAACATTGCTAGGAGCTTGTAGGATTCACAAAGACACAAACCTTGCCCGAACAGTCTCTGAGAAGCTGTTTGAGCTAGATCCAGACAATGTAGGATACCATGTTTTGCTGTCGAATATTCACTCAGCTGATAGAAACTATCCACAGGCTGCTACGGTTAGACAAACCGCAAAGAAGAGGAAACTAGCCAAAGCTCCTGGATATACCTTAATAGAAATAGGTGAGACGCCTCATGTCTTTACCTCAGGGGATCAGTCACATCCACAAGTAAAAGCAATCCATGAGAAGCTGGAGAAGCTCGAAGGGAAGATGAGGGAAGCTGGGTACCAACCCGAGACTGAGTTGGCCCTGCATGATGTGGAGGAGGAAGAAAGGGAGCTGATGGTGAAGGTTCACAGCGAGAGGCTAGCCATTGCCTTTGGACTCATAGCTACTGAGCCAGGAACAGAAATCCGGATCATAAAGAATCTTCGGGTCTGTTTAGACTGTCACACCGCAACCAAACTCATTTCAAAGATCACAGAGAGAGTGATTGTTGTAAGAGATGCCAACCGCTTCCATCACTTCAAAGACGGTGTCTGTTCATGTGGAGATTATTGGTAGTGGCTTGTTTTTGGCCTCAACACAAGTTATACTGTACTCATCCTGTACCATTACATCACTCATAATTGATAATTCTTTTCTGACTCAATAAATCTTGATTACTTATTACCTTCTATATGACTATGCTTAAAAGTTGAAAACTTCTGGTATACAAAAAAGTTGACGAAGATCTTCATTCAAATAATCTATTTCTATGGTTACAGATACAAGGAAATACAAGAAGCATATTAGAAAAGGAACTATACAGAAATTTATCAAACTCCCTGAACATTTACCAGATAAAATATAGACAATTGTGCCTAGCGCTCCGATCCTTATCCGGTGATTAGTTTGATATCAGACAATTCCGCATCATGTATCTTGCGTTGCAGTTATACCTGCCGCTGAAACTTCATCATCCGCTGGCTTTTTCTTCTTTTTTGGGGGTGGTTCTTGCACTTTCCGAATAACTTCTTTGTTTGGCACCAAGGTAATAAACAAATTTCTGTCCCGAAAGTTTTTGCTCTCCTCAGTCGCAAGCTGCAGATGTAATTAAGGTGCAATTCACATGCAAATCCAATACCAAACTTCTATTAGGAAAGAGCATAGAGAACAGAACAGACCTCTCCTATTTCAGTCTGAAAACGTCTGAGGAGCTCAATAGCAATATTTCTGAACTCGTTTTCTCGGCCTTTCATGTTCACAATCACTTTAACCTGAGTGAATTACAAATCACACAGCAGCAAAATGTAATCAGAAGGGACAGAACTCGCTCCGCCCATACAGTTCCGGTAGCAACAGAAAAAAGAAGGTAAACGGGAACAACCTTGTCACCGTCTTGCAAAAACTTCCGGGCTGCTCTCATGCGTACAGAATAATCATGTTGATCGATGTTATAACTAGCGGGAAACAAAAAGCAGAACCCTTTTGAGAAGAAGCAATTCTAACAAAAGCATCGCAACTGCACAGATAAAAGAGATACTGCAATGGCTCAAATTACCCCATTTTAAGCTCCTTCAAGTCCATGCGAGTAGCTGACATAAGAACAAAGCTTCAGTTACACAATCCAATCATGTGAATACTACACAGTATGTGAGGAGCTTATAATTTTAAACATTATATCCAGTTAAGCAGAGAAGGATGATCAAATACTTTTCTTCTGCTGTTCCTTTTTCCTCTTTTGCTGCTCATATCTGTATTTACTGATAGGTAATGAAGCAAAAAGGAAAAGAATCATTCTCCTTGAAACTTTCATATACACAATCCATTTGATACAAATGATCATTATTTACCTGTAATCCATCATTCTGACAACTGGAGGATCTGCATCCGGCGAAAGAATCACCTGAAAACCAAATTTTCGGCATACGAGATAACTCAGTGATTCAAGAAAGGTACTTACAAGTTTAGAAATTTCCAAAGAAACACAAACCAGATCAAGCTCAGCATCTTCAGCTCTTCGAACCGCTTCGTCTTTGGAAACTAAACCAATCTAAAGAAGAAAGAAACTGGAAATTTTCAATTTTTGCTGAAATCAAAAGTTTTAACACTAAAAGGCACTTCATTTACCATGTTCTGCTGATCATCAATAAGCCTAACAGTTGCTGACCTACTCAATTCAACAAATACATCAAAATCAATCATAACTTGAGCTACAGAAATTTCAAATTCAATCATTTTAAGAGTTTCCACAATTACCTAATAGCTGAGATATCAAGCGAATCATCATCATCCTCGGATTCTTTTTGCCTACCTCTCCTATCGCCGGGAAATCTAGACCCTCCGCCTCCTCCGCCACCACCGCCTCCGTAACGGCAGGTGATGGCGGGGCAACGGTGATGATGATAAGGGGAAAGAGAAACAATTGACAATTCGGCCAGACAGAGTCGAAGACCAAAGAGCTTAGATTTAACAGAGGGTGAAGGATGCGACACCGTTTTGGTGGCTCCGGCGAGAATGGCGTTGAATCCGACGGTGCTGGTGATACCAGCCATTTGCTTCAGAGTGCGTCCAGAGTCTCTCCACCAATTAGAATGATCCGATTTAAATACAAAAGAACAAACAAAATCATCTTATCCATAATATATACATCAGATTAAAAATCTATAAATTTTAGATTTTTCATTATTTAATAATGAAGCAAAGAAATTGTGAATTTAGCTTAGCTTATTGATAGTGACATAATGTACTTGTCACTACAGTATCACTAATCACTAATCACTAATGTAGTAGATCATCATATTTTGATCATTTTAATTTTCTACAAATTTTTATACAAATAAAAGTGATACTAATTTTTATTCAAAATGTCTCAGTACTATTATTAAATGATAATCAAGTTTAATGTTTTTAATAATGTTTTCCAAAATGGTTAGCTTTTGGGCCAAACCCTAAAAATGCTTCGGGCACAGAGGCTAAGCTAAAAACAGACAATAAAACAGCTGCAACGCTCTGCGCCGCGTTCTCTCTTTTTTCTTTCTCTCTTTCTCTCAAACTCTCAGGTAAACCTTCTTCAATTTTCCTCTTAGATTTGTTTCTACACGGCATTGTTCTTCCTTTTCCAAGGCTTTGTCTTAGATTGTCATAAACCTATATTTATGTGCGTCTTTGTAGAAACTTTACCCTCTAGATTACTTGTGATTCAATCAGTTATCTACTTGTTGCGTTGATTTGATTACTGTGACGCAGAAACCTCTAATTTAGTGTGTCTTGTGCAGTCTCAGAAACCGAACCCAGCTTCTGTCCTTTCTTTCACCGCGAACAAAAGATTCTAGTGATGCAGCAAGGTGACTCAGTGTTGAGCTTGAGGCCTGGAGGTGGTCGTGGAGGAAGCAGACTCTTTGCCCCACGCTTTACCTTATCTTCTTCCTCTGATCTTACCAATGGCGCAGATGCTCCTTCTTTTGCCGTTAAGGTATCCATATCCTCTGTTTTTTCTATGAGCTGTAAATTTTGAGTGTAGGATTCGTTCTTGTGGTATTGAATTGGATTATGGATAAAGTTTGGATCTTTTGCTGATTCTTATGTGTTAAGAGTGTAGATTTTCTTTGTTGAACATTATTATGCAATGTCCTAATTCTTGGTGGGGCGCTTAAGCAATGTGACCTTGCTGTAAATATGGACAAAGATTAATACTTGTAGGCTTTTAGGTGGGCACTCTATCAGTTTTTTATGCTCATAAAGGACCTACATATATAATTGATACATTTTATTGATTTGTAACCCTGTTTTTCATCTGTCGCTTTGAATTCTGAGGTTCAAGTTTAATGACTTGTATGTGTTTTGTAGAGAGGAGACTCGCGATTTGAGGGTCGTGAGCTTTTGCGGTTCACCCGAGAACAGCTGCTTCAGCTTAGAGAGGTAATTAGTTACTTTCTATGCATAGACTCGTCACTTTGCTTTGGGTTTTCCTGTTTTGCTCAAAAAGGTATTAATTTAGTCATTCACCATTTTTCTTGTGCAGGCTATCCAAGTCTCTGATGAAATTCTGAAGCTCAATCAGGAAATTGCATCTGACCTTTTTGGTGAAGAAGAGCAGAGCTGGGGCCGTTCAGAAAATAAGGTGAATGTTTTCATTTACCTTCTGCTAGTCATTTAATTTTCTAGCTTTGTCGAAAAACCAAGGAAAGTTGACTTGTTTATTAGTTTGTTATTAGTATCAGTTTTCTTAACATATTCCTTGTATTGTTTGTTCTTTTCAGCCTGAAAATCAACTTCAGAATCGTTACTCAGAGCCTGATAATCGTGATTGGCACACTCGTGCACCAATTCCTTCCCCAAGTAAAGAACGGTCAAGGGAAGACCAACGTGAAGCTAGAGATGCACATACTCAAGGAGTGAGTGTTTACTATTTTGGCACTTTATTTTGACAATACCTTAGTTTGGTATTGGGTGGTTATTGCTTGTAACTAACATGATAACTTACTAAAACAGTCTGGCCCTCCTCCTGCCCTGGTGAAAGCAGAGGTCCCATGGTCAGCTAAAAGAGGAACTCTTTCAGAAAAGGACCAAATCCTCAAGACCGTGAAAGGGTATTGTATTCTTCATGACTATAATGAGTGTTTTTCTTTTTGTTTGGGTTAATTTCTTTATATAGATGACTTAATCGTATAATTTTTTCTTCCCTGCAGTATTCTGAACAAGCTGACTCCTGAAAAGTACGATCTCCTCAAAGGTCAACTAATTGACTCTGGGATTACTACTGCTGATATCCTAAAGGTATTCCTAGTTCTGAGTGCATTAGCTTCTTTGTAGTTCTCTCTTCATGCCATGATATATGTTCTTATCTTTAAATTCAGGGAGTGATACAGCTGATTTTTGAGAAGGCTGTACTAGAGCCCACATTTTGTCAGATGTATGCCCTTTTGTGTTTTGATATCAATGGAAAGCTCCCTTCGTTCCCATCAGAGGAAGCCGGTGGGAAAGAAATAACATTCAAAAGAGTGCTTTTGAACAATTGCCAAGAAGCATTTGAAGGCGCTGGCAAATTGAAGGAAGAAGTCAGACTGATGACTGATCCAGAGCAAGAAATGGAACGCAGGGACAAGGAAAGAATGGCGAAGCTTCGAACATTAGGAAATATCCGTTTGATTGGTGAACTTCTGAAGCAGAAGATGGTGCCCGAGAAGATAGTTCATCACATCGTCCAAGTATTATGACTTGCGCTTGCTTTGGTACCGTTAAAATTCTATTGCATGTAATACTTTTCTGTAGAGCTCATGGTAACTTTGTGACTCGCTACAGGAGCTTTTAGGACAGGACAATAAAGCTTGCCCAGGGGAAGAAGATGTAGAGGCTCTCTGTCAATTTTTCATCACCATCGGGAAACAACTAGATGAGAGTCCAAGATCACGGGGTATAAACGACATGTACTTCCAACGTTTGAATGAACTAGCAATGAACCCGATGCTTGCTCCACGCATGAGATTTATGGTCCGTAATGTTATTGATCTGCGCTCTAACAAATGGGTACCAAGGCGTGAGGAGGTAGAAATTTGTAAAGCCTGTCCTTATCTGTAATTACTTACAATGTTATCCATCTGTGCTTACGTTTTGTTCTTGCTGTGTAAAATGGCAGATGAAAGCGAAGAAAATCACTGAGATTCATTCCGAGGCAGAAAAGAATCTTGGGTTACGCCCTGGTGCCATGGCGAATATGAGAAATAATAACAATCGTGGTGGTGCTGATGCTGGTGCAGCTGAAATTCTTGGCTCTGGAAACTTCCTGGGACGTTCAGGTACTGGAGGAATGATGCCTGGAATGCCAGGAGCTAGGAAGATGCCGGGAATGCCTGTAACAGATGATGATGGTTGGGAGATGGCACGGTCCTGTTCCATGCCCAGAGGCAATAGGCAGAATCCACATCCCGTTGGGCGTGTTCAGTCTCCGGTTATCATTGACAAGTCACTGTCGCTTAATTCAAGGCTGCTACCTCAGGGAAGTGGTGGTCTTATGAACGGTAGACCAAGTGCCCTTGTGCAAGGTAATGGTTCCGAACTGCCTAAACCTGTTCCTTCCCCGACCAGACCAACTGTGGAGACGCCAAAGCCACAACCACAGCCACAGGAGGTGGCTCCTCCTACAGCTACTAGCTTGAACACAGGAGAACTCAGTAGAAAGACTAACTCGCTTTTGGAGGAATATTTCAATGTCCGTCTATTGGATGAGGCATTACAATGCGTAGAAGAACTGAAAACCCCGTCTTACCATCCCGAGCTCGTCAAGGAAGCTATCTCCCTCGGCTTGGAGAAGAACCCTCCATGTGTTGAACCAGTGGCGAAACTCTTGGAACATCTGGTCTCTAAGAATGTTCTAACTCCTAAAGACTTAGGGAATGGTTGTCTGCTCTATGGGTCTATGCTCGATGACATTGGGATTGATCTGCCAAAAGCGCCAAACAACTTTGGGGAGATCATTGGTAGTTTGGTTATGGCCAAAGCATCGGATTTTGAGCTGGTTAAAGAGATTCTAATGAAAATGGAGGACGAGTGGTTCAAGAAAGCAGTTTTGAAAGCTGTGATAGGGAGTGTTAGTGAGTCTCTACTGGCTACGCAAGAAGCCGAGGTTGAGGTTTGCCGTAGTTTGGTGTAGTTTGTGTGGTTTCTTTCTTCCCAATACATGTTTTGATCAGTTTAAGACCCACGCTCGCCGGAAAAAACAGGTGAGATCTTTCTTGAAATCATTTATTGAAAAATGTTAAAGAGTTAATATCATACTTGTAATCGAGATTAGATTCAGTCTTGTTACTCCGTTTTGTTTTTCTTGATTTGTGTTTTTATTTTGTGCCTTAGTTCATTTTTGATTTGGAAGAGTTCAAGATGAGGAAAAAGAAGGGAATATTATGTTGAATTGTACACTCTTTAAAGTTTAATTTAATGAAAAGATTAATTTAATAATCAAGTATTTGTCAAAACAAATATTCATTTTTTTCTTTTTGTCAAGTTGGAGAATATGTAAACTGCATTTCAAAATAGATTTGTTTAATTTCGTAGTGTCATAAGTTATTAAACATAATCACACTAATTTATACATAGAAAATGACATTTAAGGATATTTCTCATTTTTTCATACGTATTATTAAATCATAAGAAATGTGAGTTTGTAATACATTGACGGAGTTAATTATATGACCCTGGACCGTGTCAAAATGTCTATTGTGTGCGTTAGAAGTTTTCCAAAAGAAAAAGAAAAAGAAAAATAGTCATGAGCTGTCTTGATGATTATATCAATGCCAGTTGTTAAGGAAGAACTCATTTTTTTGGTTGGTGTGCACGAAGTAGAGATAAATATCTTTCTCAGAAATCTATAAATACACACACTCGTAATTTAAAAAAAAAAACAAGATAAATATCTTTCCAGTTCATAAATTTTGTTTAACTGAAGAAGAAGAAAAAGATGAGAACTTCTTCTCTTCTTGGTTGGTTTTTGATCATCTCCCTCTTGTTACTTTCTCAATCCCTCATAATTTCATGCGGACGTCATGGAACCAAGATCACTCCTTTGGAACGGGGACTAGTTGAACATGAAGAGAACGCAGATGGGTCTCACGGTCATCACCATGACCATCTTCGAGTCTTCGTGAGGAAAAGCAAAAGCAAGAAGAAGAAGAAGGACAAATCATCAGCCACTCGAACTCTTCTCTCTAACCCTTTTACCTATGTATCTACTGTTGTGAGTTCCTTTGTTTTATTGCTCGCCGCTTTTTAATCTATTTCCAAGATCATAGGTTGCGATTTTTTTTTTTTTTTTTGGGTCGTCAAATGGCTTGAATTTGCGTGTTTGTATTTCCGATTGAGTTTAACGATTTGTATCCTTTTCCGGCAAAGTTTGTAACTCTTGAATGTTTGAAAAGTTGTCTGATCTGGTTTGTCTATTATTGTGGTTGTTTTGTTTAATGAATAATAACTGATTGTCTAAGACTATCATGCGACTACTTTTTGGATTAGTTTATTTTTGTTTGCTAAATTGTAAATATTATTAATATGAATACTCAGGTCTTACACTTTGGTTAAACCTATACAACTGTGCCCTTGGCATAAAAAAAAAAAAAAAAAGAAAAAAGGTAAAAAAACAAGGAAACAAACTTATCTGGGAAAATGTTGGGTCAGTTTAACGCAGCCATAAGATTTCTGGCGGTGATATAGTGACTTCTTTAGGGCTTGATTGGTTCTCCCGCTAGCACCCTTCTAGCGGTTATTAGCGGTCGGTTGCGGTTGTTAGCGGTTGGTACCAATCATAGAAACCGCTCCGTACCGCTTCGAACCGCTCGAAATCGCTAAATTTCAAAAGCTCCTTCCTGCAAGCGTTTGCAGTTGCGGACGGTAGCGGTTGAATTTAAAAAAAAAAGAAAAAAAAAATCAAACGTTTACTTATAATTATTATAATATATATTAATCATATATAAATCTTTCATCTTTGTATCACGTTCTCATCAGAAACCCTAATAATATTCTGAAACCCTATTTCTCTCAATGTCTTCCATCCAAACTAATGAAAATCAATAACTAAACGTAACTATCATATATCCTTTTATTCATTCATCACCTCATGTGTAACTTTTTCGCATCGTTTTTTTTCTTTTCATTACGTATTGTTTTACTTTTTGATTGAATATATGTTTCGATTTGTTTTCTCGAATAGAAACTCACTTGCTTTTTGATTGAACTCAACGTTATTTACAATTTGTCTCATTACTTGATGTTAAACCAGATGCATAAAGTACTATCTTGTTACAAAATTTATTTATTTTTGAATAATTATTTTGTACTTTATTTATGGTTTTAATTATTAAGCATGTTCAATTTTTCTAATATTATCATAATAATATATTGGTGATTTTTTTTTTTTGTAATATTATTTATTTATTTTGGTCATTTTTTTATTTAACTGCTACCTCACTCGCTGGTTTACCAGTCATAAAACTCCCGCAAACGCACCCATTTTCAAATGCTAAACCAGTCGTTCAAAACGCTTGAAGCCGCAACCACCCGCTTCCGCAAACTCCCGCAACCACAACCGCAACCGCTGCGTTTAAACCAGTCAGGCCTTTAATTTCTGGCGGTGATATAGTGTTGTTATTGATCTCACGATCAATTAATTTGAAGATTGTTTAAGTGGATAGAGAGAATGCAGGTTATGGGGAACATTGTTCCTATGGTTCCATTGTTCCTTTGTTTGTTTGTTCTAGTCTACCATTAACAACAACGTTTTTGAAGCATCTACTACATGAATTCAATAGAATTCAGTTACAATTGAAGAACTAACATGGTAAAACTAAATCCACTAGGCACCATTCCCTTCGACCACTTTTTGCCTTACGTTGGAAATTCACAATTCCATTTCAAATAAGAAAACGATAAATAATACTCCTTCTGTTTCATATTAAAGGATGTTTTAGACATTTTATTTTGTTTCACAATATAGGATGTTTAGGAAAAACAGTTCAAGTTTCTATACAAAAAATTAAATTTGTCTAATTTGTGACTATTTAGATTCTGCAGTAAAGCATATCATTGGCCAAATTATCTTTAACTATTTATTAAATTATGTTTTAATGTAAAATATCTAAAAACTAAAATAATTAATTAGTTTCTTAAACTTTGTGCTTTTAGGTAAAACATCCTATATTTTGAAACAGAGGGAGTAACATTTGGGACTGTTATCCATTATGCTTAATTAATCATGATCCACCCTTACGTAATTAGATTTGGCCTCTCGGAAACTTTCTTTGTTGCTGGCAAAAAAAGAAGAAGGAAGGTTTCTTTGCTAATAAGTTAATAAGTGTAAGACAAATAGTTAAATACAATAATGTTTTAAACACGATTTCAAAGAAGATGTAGCCCATTTTTAAGCCTACTCGTTTCATTACCTAAGTCTAGCGATATTATAAATTCTAATTCTTTTGCACACATATATAATGCATCCCATCATTGTAAAATAAACACATATCTCTGATTTTTTCGATCAAATACATATATATATATATACACAAATTATTTGATAAAACACAAATGAGGACTTCACTGGCTTTTTCTTGTTCATTGATTGTATTCCTATTGTTACTCTCTCAGCCTTTGCTAATTTCATCTGAAAATCAGGAGAGTGAACGAAGACTTGCACAACACGGTGACTCCAATCCATTGAATCATCATGACTCTCTTCGAGTTTTCATGAGGAAAGCTCGTGTTGGTGGTGGTAGTCGTGGTGGTGGTCGTAGTCACCGTCGTGTCCCTAGTAGTGGTCATGGTGCCGGTGGATCATCCGCTACTAGTCGACCTTCTCTCTCGATCGCATTGCTTTTCGGTTCCACGGTCGCAAACTCAATTCTGTTAACATTCTTGGCCTTCTAATTGAACTCTTTTTTTATCCTTGTATTTTATAATTTGTATCTTGCGAGAACCCTTTTTCTTTTGATTATATTATTGTTGGTTCTACTCGTGTGACATGAATGTAATCGAAAGCTAATAAATCATTCCAAATTTCCCCAAGAAAATGTTGATAGGATGATAATTTAATTTAAGAAAACCTTATTCATCACATCTTGACATTGTAATCTTTAGGTATTGTTGGAACAGCATGTAAACTAAATTCTTAATATTAAAGTTTGAGTATATTCTTTTTTGGTAATATCGATACATAAATTACATGCCATGAGAAGAAATAAATTAAATAACATTTCAAAGTCAGCTTTTCAAACCTATGATCTATTTTCATTGGACAAACAGGGAGTTTGAAAGTGGATAATTGTTAACATGGTGTATACGTACGTACTATACTACTATAGACTCCTCAGATTGAATGTAAAATAAGTTTTTCAAATAGTAATCACCTAATTATCCTTATTGAACCACTCTTTAAAAAATTATCTATCATTCAATCTGAAGTAGTCTATATCATAATATATAAACGAGAAATATTCATGTTAAATTTCAAGAGAAGAAAATAAGAGTAGTGAATAAGCTTTTAACCAAAACAGATTAGATTGTTCATTGCAAATAGGAGATACTCCTCATCAATTCATTATAGCAAACGAAATAAATTGAACTTAGACAAGTGACAACATATCTAGTTGGGTCTAGGAGTAGACCATTCGACCCTAAGTATGAGATTATCATAACCATAACCATCCAATGTGTTGATTGCTTGACAAAACCAAAGCCTTTACTCGTTCCTGTCTTCTGGTCCAAGGCCACATAGACTCCCATTTTTTCCTTACGATATATACTCTCCTTTCTCCTCTGTTTTTACTAGACATAACTAATTCTGATTTATTGTTATATTCCACGAGAAGAAGGAACAACATAATTTGAAGTTAGATAGCCATTTTTAAACAAAATACATAGACGAGTTTTTAAAGATAATTCTACTTCAATTTCAAGAGATGGACACAAGTGAATGAGTTTGCCAGAACAGACTAGATTGTCCATTGCTCAACGGACATGTTCCTCCCCATTCAAAAGCAAAGCAGAATATATTTTTATTTTTCCATGGAGTGGAAGAGAAATCAAAGCAACTTTTTGTTATTGTTATCTCTCCATTGATTGGAGGAATAATGAAAAGTGAAAGAAACAGGGTCAGGTGTGGGAATCAAATTTTACCCGACAATTTGCTGCTTTTTTTTCCCATCAGATTCTTCAATCTTTGTTCTGTTTCTGAGTTGTAATCTTTGTTCTGTTTCTCTCGTGTCTTTGTGTAATCCCACGCAAAGAATGTCTTTTAGAGATACAGTCCTATATATACTGTTACTCAGTGGTTAACTTACATCTCCATACAATTTCTTAAGAAATCAATCTTCTTCTGCAGAAGCTTTCATAATCTTCTGCCATGAAGAGATCCTTGTTGCTAACCATCATCATCTTCTTCATCGCCTATGCTTTTGCCGAAGAACTTCAATGTTGTTCAGACAAAACAGTCAACATGGTTCACATAGGCAAATTCCTTGTTTGCTCCAATGTTTGCTGTAGCTACTTCAAAAGATAAACATACATTTTAACTCTCTTTTAAATGTTGCAGAGAGACCAGTCGTCAAAGTGACTGATAGCAAGAGAGCCCATGGGAGTTCACAGACGATCAGGGCAAGAGGTGTTTATGGAGGTGATTCCATGATCAGACCTAAAGGAAAGAAGAACAAATCCATGGCCTCCATGACCAGATCTGCTTCACTTGCACTACTTCATGTAATAATTGCAACTCTGGTCCATATTTTCTTGTACTAAAACGTAAAATCCTAAAAATCAAAAAATACAAGCCTATCACTATCAGATAAGGGTTTCCACTACGATGAGAAAAACTGGTTTTAATGATACAAATTTAAAGGGTTCAATACAAATCTGTTAATTATATCATCCACCTTTGATCACTAGTTTAGAGAGGAATGAGAAGATAGCATTTTTGAGTTGTTTATTCTTAGGCTGAATGCATAAAGTTGTGTTGATGCATATGTTATCGACTAGAGAAGCCAAGAGGGATTCCATTGCTTCAAAGAGTCTTAGAGATAACATATGTATCAACACAAGCATATGCATTCAACCTAAGAATAAACAACTCAAAAACTGGAATAGCCTACCACTTGACATGCCTTAATCAAGTTTTGCTTACCTCGTTTCCAAAAGTAAAAACTCTATATACAAGCTGATGCATAAACACATAGCAGGTCTCATAACCTGATAATAGAAACTTTCAATCACGCATTCACACCAAAAATGATAAACCAATTGTATTAACACAGAAAGGTTTTCAAATCTCTCAGTACATAAGTAAACAACTGCAAAGAAACTTATTGGTACAACAACAACTCAAAGCGACAGAGTTTCAAAGAAACAAGAGATTCTTAAACAGAGATATCAAGCAGAGTAGAGAGGGCGTCTGTATTCATCAAAGTACTCTTCACGGTTCTGAAACACAATCACGTAAATCGCATAAATTATCCCCGGGACATAGCCTAAGATAGTCAATACCAGGCAAATCAAAAACTCCACCTGCAAAACAAATCAGACATAAAAATTTCAACTTTCTTCAATCCCTTAAGTGTATAGTGATTTATCCAAGCTTTCAGGAATCAACAAATCAAATAGAAATTGATCCAATCATAGACTTAGCAATCATAGATTTACATTATAATAAACCTCAATAAAAAGTACCGATATTCTTCAAAATTGACGAATTCGAAAGAGAGAGATAGACAACTTACAGTGCAACATCCTTTCCTGAGGCAAACTCCGAGAGGAGGAAGAAGGATCGCGATAATGATCTCGCAGAGAATCTCACAGTTGCTTGGCATTTTTTCAGAGATATGAGAGAAGAAGAAGCTTTGAGATGAGTTTTAATAGAGAAGAAGACTTGTTTATAAAGACAAAACACTGAAACTTGCTGTCGCATAGTATCAATGAAGAGAGCAGTCCACGTTTTATTTTGTTACCAACTACAAAGTCAATTGCGAGATCTGCACAGTTCATTTATCGTGTTTTTAAATCGTATGGCTCGTGAATCACAACGAATGATAAGGTGCACCGTAACACACTAGATCAATTTAAGATATTTTTAGTCTCTCTGACTCATCCATGTGACTAAATGGGCCTAGAAAGGCCTGTCTATTTAATTAATCCGGGACCGGACAAAAACGTTTTGACTAAAAACGGTGTCGTAGTGGTAAGCCTTCCATTCCAAAATTGTCACACAACCATTGCCATTATTTGCCAAAGTAACATACACATGTAAATGTATCTTTTCTAGGCATAATCCTTGAGGATCACAATATATGAATTCAACCAAAGAATAAACAACTCAAAAATGCTTCTGCATTTCCCAAGTTTAAACTCTTGGCAATACAAATCTTGGCAAAGAATCTGATGCATTAACACTTTGCAGAGTTCGTAACCTGATTTGCAAAAGCCAACAAGTTATATAACGAAAAGATAACCAATGTTCTCAATTCTTCAATTCATAAAATTGCAAAGCAACTTATTTGGTACATAAAGGATAAGTAAAACAGTTTCAACAACATATTGATCCGAGTAAAGAGATCAAGCTGTGTTGAGTGGTGCTCCGAGTTCGTGAGAGCCTTCACGGTTTTGATACACAATCACGTAAAGTGCATAAATTATCCCTGGGATGTATCCTAAGATTGTCAGCACCAAGCAAATCAAGAACTCTAACTGCAAAACAAGAATCAGAGTGAATTTTCAAAAACTCTTTCAAGAATCAAGATTTGGTTTCCAAACTAAATTTGACCATCTTGGAAGAGAACTTACAGTGCAACAGCCACGTTTGAGACAAACTCCAAGAGGAGGAAGAAGGATAGCGATTAAGATCTCACAGAAAACTTCCATGTTGCTCGCCATTTTTCTTAGAGATGAGAAGAAGAAGAAGAATCTTGAATTTGATCTGAATTAGTGGAGAAGAGAGAACACTGAAAGTAGTCGGCAGCACAGAGATCCAATTAAAGAGCAATCCACGGCTTTTTGTTTTTGGCGCTACCAAGTCAACTACGAGATCTGCACCGTTCATTGTTCAGTATTTAAATCGCACGGCTTCAGGTTACATGCCGACATCTCGTAAAATTACCTTACCTTGCCCCCACTCTTTAGATATTTCATATCATCATTGTTGGATATTATTACTCTGACTCGCCCCTACCGTATGTTATGTATGGTTAATGGATCACGTGACTAAGTGGACCTATAAAGGCCTGTCTTCAATCATATCCGGGACCGGACTGGGTTAAAACATTGTCGTACCAATAAGACTTTCATTAGTCCGATGCTTGTGTTGCTTAGATGACAAGCAAGCTATAAAAGGGAAACATATACGTAAACCATTTTACTCGATATGTGTATTAATGGTATTTTAATGGAATTCACACGTACAAAAGTTTTAGTGACAAGACAAAGTCACAAAGAAAAAGGGTTTCACACTGTTTTGAGAATTCAAACATAGATATTAGATACTAGTAGATACAGTAAAAACAAAGTAATTATGTAGTAGAGGAAGCAGAGCATAAAAACCGGTCAACAAGTTGATCAAAACGTGCGTCCAACAATCATTCCTCTCTTGGATTACCCGGTCTTGGAACACGTAAAATAGCAATCGGAGGATTGAAATCCGGCTTAATGATCTCCGTCAAATTCTTCAAACTCGAGGTATATGTGGTTATATCACTTCTGGTCAATGATATACATCCACATAAGTCCAGGTACTCTAGATTCGAACATCCCTTACAAACCGAGTCAAGACCTCTAGCAGTCAAAGTGGAGTATCGAAACTCCAAGTGCTTGAGCTCTGGCATGTATCTCCCAATTATCTTAGCCTCTATATTGCCGTATCTAGGAAATGTAGCCAGATAGTCTAATGGCACGACAATCGTAGGTAGGTTAGGACCTAGCCGGGGCAACAAATTCCGTTTCAGAATCTTTAAATTTTGGCAATTCCTCCCCAACATTTTCAGAGACTCGTGAGTTATGCCATAAGAGTAGCTTATATCAAGTTCTCTAAGATTTGGACAGTTCATAGCTATCTTCTCCATTGATGCATCTGTAACATTTGGGCAGCTCTTAATCCAAAGTACCTCTAGATTAGGGCACCTGCAAATGGAAACCACATGACATGACATGTATACCAGACATTTCATTCATTCTATCAAAACTCTGCGATTAACCTCTATGGACTCAAGCTAGTACAGAGAAATATCACGCAGTGATACGTACCTCTCGGCCGCGTAAGATAGAGAGCGTTCGGTACAATGCCTGATCCGAATCTCTGTGAGACCGCCTTCGCTCCGATCAACAACAGATCGGAGAAAGGAATCGACTTTATCCTCAAACTCGGGAGTCCACCAGTTGATCGACTCGGGGAACGACAGAAACCGAGTTTCCAGATCAAAGATGGTGTTGAGTGACGCGTCATAGCATGTGTTCATCCAGTTCTTGCTGACCAGCATAGGTCCGACCCATCTTTGTTCCTGGCTTAGCCGTGAGAAGATGTCAAGAAGACATTCCCGAGTCAACTCTGACCAGTCAGGGCAGAGTCCCAATCCCATCTCCACCTTTCTTTCGCCGTCGTTGACTTCCATAAGATTGAAGAACGCTTTTTCGTTCGAGTACGAAATAGACTTCAAATGTTAGACTTTTAGTTGTTTTCAGCTTATATAGTCAATGGAAACAAAAATGTAGAGACTTCTACAGCTTATAATCAAGCATGTTCTTTACTTTAATACAAAACAGAGCTTTTCAAACTTGGCTTTTCTTTTCTTTATTGGTCATCAGTAACCTTTCCAAGTTTGATATCCAGTCGAATCGATGAGATTTAAGTAATAACATCCAACAACAAATGAGATTCCCTAATTACCAAATTGGATTAATAGGATAATGTAATCACTTATGACAAGAGTTGTTCATATGTTATCCTATGTGGGACATATGGAAGTAATGACTTTCTAAGTCATCAAATCAAATCTTATATCTATATACCTGTATAAGCATATGTGCAAATTGAGACGACAAATCATTATCTCAATCCTATTTCATACTAAAAACCCTAAACACTTAAAGCCACTGGATCTTGCCATGTAACCTTCCTCTTCACTGCTCTATTTAACTCTTTCTCCACATCTCCGCAAATCGGTAACTTCCTTTCACCATGTAGATCACTGATTCTGTTATCACGCATTGCATTCTTCATTGATTCCACGACCATATGTTCACCATTCACTTCCGGCTCCTCTTCTTCTCTCTACAACCAAAACGCAAACCCCACAAATAAAACTAATCAATCTCAAGACTCTACCAAAAGGAAGACCCTAAAATAACAAAAGTTGTTTGGCTTTACCGAGATCTGGTTTAGGTCAAAGCCCGGGACTTTGTCGGTGACAGAAGTGTTTCCCTCTCCATTAAGGTCAGGAAGTGAAACGGGAATTGTCAAAACATCGTTTCCTCTGCTCCTTCTTCGCTTCTTTTCCAAGTCACAACTTGCATTCTTAGCCAATGCTTCCTTCTCATTGCAAATTGTATTCTTCTGTTTCAAATCAAAACATGGCACAGGTGCGCTCACACCAGGGTGCTTCTTGTTTTCGCCACTTGGTTTCCTTGGGATCTCTAAACCCCCAGATTCTGACAATCTCAACATCTTTGGAGATGTTTCAAGAGTTTGGTCTTGCTTCAAGTGCTCGTATCTACGTCTCAAGAACCTTATCGTTTGATCATCAAACACTCAATAAGCTAATGAATGTACAAAACAAGCCAAATAAAAGCTTGAATCATGTAAATTATACACTAAACACGTAAATTCACAAGAAGATCAGAGATTATACCTAACTTCTGACTTGAGGGTCAATCTTTTTTGTTTAATCATCTCCAATTTCTTTCTCTTTACTTCTAATTCCTGAGAACACGAGATAAGGAAACAAATTTCAGAACTTTACTTCTTCCCTATGCTTCACTTAGAACCAACCGAACAATTCCAAACCCAAAGTCATGACAAAACATCATGATCACCCAAATCAGCAGATCCAGAGGAAATCGAAACAAATAACAAACCCAGAAATTTCAATCTTAAAACCCTAGAAAAAATCAATTACCTTTTCCAACTCCAGAACCTGCTGCATAAGGGTGAATCTGATCATGGGATCGCCACAAGAAGCAGAGGAGACGATATTAGTCTCCTTCATCGGATCCGCTCAGTGAATTTAGGAATCTCAGATGCAAAAGACACCAAGCAAGCGAGAAAGAGGAAAGAGAGAGAGAGGTGTGAAGAAGAAGAAGAAGAAGGAAGATAAGGCAAAAGGGATTAGGTTTAATGGTGGGAGTCTTATTCCATGTATGAAACTCTCTGACTAAAGACTTAAGAAACCACATAATTGATTGATTTTGGGTGCCCATTACAACAAATTGAAATTGAAAAAAAAAAAAATTTGGATTTTCCTTTTCTTTTTTTTTTTGTGTGTGAGAAGTCTATGAGACCACACCAGACAAGTAGCAGAAAACTAGGAGTAGTGTGATCAAAGATGGAAAAGAAAGGAAATGAGAAAAAATCAAAACTTTTATCTTTCTTTCTTTTTACTTTTATTTCTCTGTGTGCCCTTTTGGAAGTTGCAGAAGGGCATTGAAATGCTGACCACTTAACCAAAAAAAAAAAAAAAGGTTCTTCCTTTATTGTGTTTGTTGATGATTGGGTTCATGTCTTTGTAAGGTAGGTTTGATAATTGGTAGAGAATTTGAATTAAAAAAGCACATCTGGGTTATTGAAGAGGTAAAAGAGTTAATATTGTTGGATATGTTATGTGAAATTTATTTAGAGAGAGATTGTAAAAAGATATTGGGATCTAGAGAGGGAGGGAGATCAAAAAATAAGAATTGGGTTGAGACAAACAGTGAAACAGGAGAAGAAGAAACTATGGAGATTGAAAAGAGAGATGATTTGTCTGGTGTGTATGTATATGTATTTTATATTTATAATTTAAGATTATTATTTTTTGGTCAAATATATATGTCCAAATCCTCATCCTGTGATAAATGATAATAATCTCTTCTTTTCTCTTCTTCGGGTTTTTCTCATATAAGCATAAGCATCAATCAAAGCCCAGTAAACCCAATTATGATATCCACGTGGCACTATCTTATTGGTTAGAAAAAATATCTCGTTCTTTTCGATCTTGCCGAATTCGAGACTACTCTGCTCTCGTCTCCGTTTTCTTCTCTCACAGTCAGAGGAGAAGAATGGCTTCGACGGCTACGACTACTGATTTCTTCAAGCCTTTGCTTTCTCCTTTCTCCAATGGTTAGTTTCTAAAAATCTCTGGGCAACTCTCTCTTATTATATCTGGTTATTTCCAGGTATGTGATTGAGTTTGTGTTGTGAATTTAAATTTGGAGAAGAACAAGTCTGCTTACCATGCAAGCTTGTCTCAATTATACTATCCTAGATTCGTGTAGTGTTTGATCATCTTCGTCTCTGATGTTTTATTTTCCGGGGTTGAAATTTCAGGGAATGCGGCGCAACGAATCAGTAGACAGAACGTGGTATGGTTAAATCGAAAGAATTCTGGAAATAATCAAAGTCGATCTCTTCGTGTTAATGGATTATTCGGAGGCGGAAAAAAGGACAATAAAGAGGATGGACAATCAAAGGTACATGTTTTTAGGGTTCATGTTCAATAGTCTTTAACAACACAATTCTATAGCTTTGTCCTGTTTTTCTTATTGCTTTCTTCTATGGCTTAGGCAGGTATACTTGGTAACATGCAGAATTTGTATGAGACTGTGAAGAAAGCTCAAATGGTTGTTCAAGTAGAGGCTGTTAGAGTGCAGAAGGAGCTTGCTGTGTATGTCCCCACACCAATAGCCAAACCATTTGCATTACTATATTCTTTAAGTTTCGTCTATCTTCTATGAGTTTCATTCATGCCTGTTTTGATTCCCTTTTTTTTCAGTGCTGAATTTGATGGTTATTGTGAAGGCGAGCTTGTCAAGGTATTACAGACTCTGGATCATGGATGTGAGACATGTGCTGTCTGATTCATTACTTCTGTGGATTATTACACAGTGATGCTATTTTTAGTTTGTTTTTCCATCTCTTATGAGTTAAGTGACCAAAAGCTTTGAACTTGTGTATCAGGTTACATTATCAGGTAACCAGCAACCAATTCGCACTGATATCACTGATGCAGCAATGGAATTAGGCTCCGAAGTGAGTAACCTTCATTTAACTTTCTGTTGCACTTACTTCTACATAGGAATGATCAAAGCTATATCCTTCAGCTTCTTATGTTTCTTGATTTCCTTTTGGCAGAAACTTTCACTACTGGTCACAGAAGCATACAAGGAAGCTCATGCTAAAAGTGTACTGGTAAAGACATCACATACCATACTTTAGGAGAAAATTTTTATTGTTTTTTTTTCTATCTCTTGACTATGGAAACTTTTGGATTTCACAGGCTATGAAAGAAAGAATGAGTGATCTTGCGCAGAGCTTAGGGATGCCACCGGGCCTTGATGGATTAAAGTAACAAAACCTAATCTTTTTTTTTGTTATTTCACTCAACTTACAGGTATGAGAAGTCCAGTGTTTTTTGTATATCGATCAGGCAGAGAGAAATAGAGCTCTGTTCTAGTGAATCAGAGAGAGATATTTAAACCTTTGAACTTCTTTGATTATCAACAATTACTCAAATGCTCTCAAATTTTTTTGTTGTTTTCCAAATTGTGGAAATGAATCGAGCTTTTAACAGAAAGAAAAAAGGTAGAAGAATTCCGAGTTTACTCGGAATAGGTTCCTAATCTGGTAGCCAAATTGTGCTTCGGGGGACATTTTCTCTTACTCTATGTTTAGGTTATTAAAGTAGCTAATAAGATCTTGGGAGCTCTTTTCCGGCCAAGAATGATCTGAAAAGAATGAGAGCACGCTTTGGTTCAAATAAAGGCACCTCGTGGCCTGCCCCTCTTACCGTTGCAAAGGTCAGTCCCTTGTAAACCTCTGTCCATCCTCCCACCTGTCACCACCGGTAAACATCAATACCTTTTATATAATACATATCCCTGTACGTATATATATGCAGTATGTGTATGTATATTGTACCTGGTTATCAGAGTACCAAGGATACCAACGAGTTTTCACCGGGAGATTGAGATGGCTGAGGGAAAACCGTGTCGCGGTCACTGGAACCACCGAGTCTGTATCACCGCTGAGTAGAAACCACAGTTTGGTTAAGTAGCCAATGCCCAAAGTAGTGAGTCTTGAGTTTTTTTTAGGTTTATTACAACTAGGCCTAAAGATTAATTGGCCATACTAAGCTAGACCCTCATTTAGTCAATATGGTATATATGTTGATCCACGGTTAAAAGCAGGTTTCATGGGATCCGCCTATGTTTATAGTTAGGATGCGACAGTATCCCGAGTTACATTAAACCATAGTTTACCTAAAAATCCAGATCCTCAAACCAGACGCTGCAAGTTCCTTGTATATGGGCAACATCGTCTTGTCGGAATCTTTCCAGTTCTTGATCAGAGCATCACTGCACCAACCCAAACAAGAAACCATTTCTTTCAGGATCATTTTATGCAAAGTATAATTACATAGTCATCATTAGGTGGTGAAGCGACTCTTTACCTGCAAGCTGTCCATTTATAGCGAATTCCAGTAACATTAGCGTGCATAGCTCTCTGAACATCCTGACGGTTAAAATACTTCTCTGCATAACTCTCCGTACAAGGATCATAGCCAGACACTAACCGTCTACGCAAGAGTGTGTTCTTCATTCGTACAAAGAAACCGGTATTGTTCTTCTTCTGATGTGCAGCCACGCACGTCGGGGTGTAAATGCTATACTGATCAATGTCACCGAACTCGTGGTTCATAGCATAGTTAACCGCGGTGTCGCAATCGTCTGAAACTCTCTCCACCGTGAAATTGCAGTGTTTGAGGATGGACTTGTAGGTTTTGTCGGAGACGATTGCGTGAGTCCACCAGTAAGTTACTGTACCTATACTGTCGTACTGATTGTCCGTCACTGCGTTTCCCACCTTTAGCAGCAAGAATGGTAATCTTTCGTTAATCACGAATTGAACATATAGTTTTGATCTGAGCTAAATAGACCCTTTTTGTTTTTACCATGAATCCTTTGAGATTAATGATGGGTTTAGAGAAAGCTTTGTTGTAGTCATGGATCTTTTTGGCAAGCTGAGGAACATAATGCCCTGTCAAAAGAATAATGTTACATTAAAATAATTTATCAATTAGGTAGTTGATGAACCATTAAACCGAACCATTTGGTCAAAAAATAACGTACCGGCGTAGCTTTCACCAGCGATATAGAAGTCTCTGTATTTGTATTGAGGAAATTTCGATAACCATTTGATAAGAAATATCAAGTTGTCTTGAGCTGTGATTAGGAGGAATATGATCACAAAACATAAATCAATCTTCTCAACAAAAACATAAGAACAGAAACTAATCATGCCGGTTTATAACTAATTTATAAAACATTAATTAAGATAATGAATTGAACCTGTTTGTGCATCTCCGGAATCCTTAAGATCGGAACTTGTGTTCGTGTAGGAATATCCAACTCCCGCCGGTGATTCAAGAAACAAAAGGTTTGCGTCTGTTATTGTTACATTCATTACAATTAATTCGATCTCAGAATGCCGGAAATGTAAATACACTACATATTTGAAGCCTCAAAATAATTCGTTACATGAAACATAGAATAAAGTGAACTTGATTGTAATTAAACTTGTAGTTACCTTTGTTCCAAGAGAACTTGTTGAGATAGAGATTGGAACCGGTTTTGTTGATACGAAACGGTCCAATTTCCTCTGAAGCTCCATAAGCAATCGACGAGCAGCCCGGTCCTGTAGATTTTTTTTAAGTGTATAAAATAATTTCATCAATGCCATTATTTACTTAAATTACAAATGAATAGCCAATCATATGTTATAACATGTGGCCAGATGATGATATAGAAAATTCTCTATTTCAAAATCTTTATTACAATTTTCTTGATCAAATTTATCCAAAACATGATTTCGTGAAATTAACTTTTTCGTGTTTTTGGTTCAAGATGAATGTGACCCAAATTATGGCATCTTTCGTGCATGCTCCGATTTTCTCCCAAGGAATGATTATATTAAATAAATTAAAATGACTAGAGGCCAAAATATAAAAGAATATTTGATGACAGCATATATTTCTGGACCAGAAAAAATCTATATATTTTTTTTTGTTAAAAAATCTCTGTTATGTGAAAATAAATAAAAGTATATAACCCAAAAAAAGTGAAAAATTCACGCATGGGCGTGTGTGTATGAGCAATGTTACTTCCATGAATACGCATGCGTCTTCAACACATTTATCTAGTCTACTCCCACAAAAACAATTTGAAAGGAACGGCCATTTTTTTTTTTTTTTCAATAACAAGGTCAACTTTATTACAAATTTGAAAGAAAAATCAAATTAAAGAATAAATGGAAAAAGCAGTTTGCTTTTGGGTAATGTGTATGTACGTATTTTTGGATATAATTATTAAAGGCAGCAAAAAGGTAATGTCACCTTTTTGTCATGCTTTCTTTTCTTACATAAGCTAATGAAGAGACAGAAGAACAAAGGCATCTAAGTATATAATGATTTCATAAAACAACAAGTTGACGCCAGGGAGTGACAAGAGATCTCTCAGTATATAATGATTTCATAGAAGAAACTAAAACCTTTATCATTTTAACCTCCAGAAAAAAGGTCTAAACTTGATCAGGCTGATCATGCTTTTTTTACTTGTAATTGCATTACGGCTATTGTTCTTAAAAACAAAATTCTAGGGCTTTGTGATGTCCCATGTGGGCTTCAAATTAAGACTGTTACATTTAATTCATATGGCTATAATTGTATGCTATTTATAGGCGCCATGAAT